GGGACCCTGGGGGCTCCTCTATGGGGCTTTGGGGGGAGCTGGGGACCCTCCAGGGGCCTTTGGGGACCCCTGGGGTGCTGGAAAGCCACCGGGAAGCTTGGGGGACCCTCTGGGGGGCTCTAGGGACCCTGGGGGCTCCTCTATGGGGCTTTGGGGGGAGCTGGGGACCCTCTGCGGGCCTTTGGGGACCCCTGGGATGCTGGAAAGCCCCTGGGAGGTTTGGGGTTCCCTCTGGGGGGCTCTGGGGACCCTGGGGGCTCCTTTATGGAGCTTTGAGGGCGCTGGGGCCCCTTTGGGGGCTTTGGGGGACCCTGGGGGGCTCCTTTATGGAGCTTTGGGGGAGCCGGGGACCCTCTGAGGGGCTTTGGGGACCCCGGGGGTGCTGGGAAGCCCCTAGGTGGTGTTGGGGACCCCAAGGAGCCCTCTGTGGAGCTTTGGGGGAGCTGGGGACCCTCCGAGGGGCTTTGGGGACCTGCTGAGCGCTTGGGGAGCCCCCCGGGTGCCTTTTGGGGCCCCCGTCTCCCCCCAGGTGGCATCTAGGGACTCTCTTCCAGGGGTCCCTAAATGGGGGACCAAAAAAGCTCCAGGGGGTTTTGGGGAGACCCTCCGAGTGGCTTCAGGGGACCTGGGCGCCTCTATGGACCCCTGTGTGGTTTTGGGGACCCCCCCATGTGGGCCAAATTTGGCCGCCGGAATCTCGCTCCCCCTCTTTCCTCGGCATTCCCAAATTAGATGAACCCCTAATATCGTGGGGTTTTTTTTTGTCCTACTATTCCCGTTTTTCCTCCTCCAGGAGGTGCCCCAGGAGCATTTGAGCTCCCTTAGGAAAGGCCGCGAGGAAGCCAAGGCCGAGCGGGAGCGGCAGAGCGAGGAGCTGCTGGTGAGTCCCTCGGAGCCGGGAATTTTCCAGCATCCGGCCGTTCCCCTGAGCCGGAAAACACGGGAATGTCGGGATATAGCCCGTACGGGAATGCTGGAATGTTCCCCCGTGGCTCCTGCAGAAGCAAACGGAGGTGGAAAGGCAGAAGATCGTGGCCGAGTGCAAGGAGCTCCGGGCGTTCCTGGAGGAGAAGGAGCAGCTCCTGCTTTCCCGCCTGGAAGAGCTCGACCGGGATATCGTCAAGCGGCGGGAGGAGAGCGTCTCCCGCCTTTCCGAGGAGATTTCCCAGCTGGATAAGCTGCTGGGCGAGCGCGGAGGAGAAAGCGGCTCCGGAAACCCGCCCGGCCAGGTGGGACTCGGAGCGGGAACGTCCGGGATGGGTCTCCCTGCTCTGCGTGTCGCGGGGTGGAAAACCCAGGAATCCTGGGCCTGGAATTCCCGGGAAGGGGAATCTCCTTGTAGGGGTTGTCGGATGCTGGAGAGCAGCTCGGATCTGGGCGCCTTTCATCCCATTTTGGAGCTCGCTCCGTTTATGGAGCTTCCATCCTTTTCCTTATCTATTTCACTTTTTAAAGCAAAAGTATTTCACTAAATTACTTTTTTTCCCTCTTTTTCAGGCCGTTGTCGCTGCTGGAAGTGGGTGAGTGAGCGAGGGCTCTGCTGGGTTAACTGGGGGAACTGGTGCCAAGCCCCAGCCCCCCAAGCCGCTTTTTTGGGGGGTTCCTGCCCGCCCAGGGGCCTTAATTTAAGGGCAAATCAGGATTTTTTCACCGGGGAAATAGAACCGGGAGAATTTCCAGAGGACAATCCCGTTTTCACCTGCCAAATTAGGACAAATCCCAGCGATTTTCCTAATTGGAGAGCCCTAATCTGGATCCCTGTTTCCAATAGGCTCCTTCCCCCCCTTGTAGTTTTGAAGACTGGGATTTTTCCGTGCGGATTTTCCCGCTTCCTTTTATTTATTGATGGATTTTCCTCCCGTCTTGTCCCGTTTTCCCAGCTTTGAGAGCTGGATGTTCTGCAAACCGGAGCCCGGATTCGCGGAGCTGGAGAAGAAGCTCAAGAGCTTTTCCCAGAAGAGCGCCGTGCTCAAGGAAGTGCTGCTGGAGTTCAAGGGTGAGCGGGAATGCCCATGGGAAAAGCGGGAAAAGATTCCTGTTTTTTTTTTTTTTCCCCCCTGCCCTGGCGGGAGGGATGTAGGGACTATCTGGGAATATTTCCCCGGATCAAGGCTCTAAAATTCCCTCTTTTTTTCCCCCGCAGAGAATCTACGGTTCGAGCTGGAGAACGACACGGGTAAGCGCCGCCCTGCGGAGCGGCACCTTGGGAATTCCTTGGGAATTTGCCCTCTTTTTGCCCCCCAACCCTTTCCCAAGGTGTTTCCCGAGCTTTTCCCAATGCTCTGATCCCCTTGCTGCTGGACAGGACGACCCCCCTTTTATTTTCCATAGCTCCTGGGGCCCATTCCCAGCCGTATCCCTCCTTTCCGACTGGGTCGGATACAAGCAGCCCCTTAAACACCCGGATAACTCCCCTGATTCCTTCCTGGTGGTTCCCAACTGCTGGAAAGGATAATTTCCACTAAAGTTGCCCAGTTTGGATGGTGCTGGAACAAGGAATGTTACCGGAGCTGGGGGGAAAAGGCGAGATTCCATTGGGAATTGCACATTCCCAAGATGATGAGAATTCCACACTCCCAAGATTCTGGGAGTTGCGCGTTCCCAAGGCTGCAGGAATTCCACACTCCCCAAGGCTGTGGGAATTGCGTGTTCCCAGGATTACGGGAATTGCCTGTTCCCAAGGTTGCAGGAATCGCAGACTCCTGAGTTGTGCGTTCCCAGGATTGTGGGAATTGCAGACTCCCGAGATTCTGGGAATTGCGCGTTCCCCAGGTTGCAGGAATTGCAGACTCCCGAGATTCTGGGAGTTGCGCATTCCCAGGATTGCGGGAATTGCAAACTCCTGGGATTCTGGGAGTTGTGCGTTCCCAGGATTGCGGGAATTGTGCGTTCCCAAGGCTCTGGAATTCCACATTCCAAAGATTACAGGAGTTGCACGTCGGGAGTTCCCGAGATTCTCGGAATTGCACATTCCCAAGATCCCAAGCGGGCAGCCGCTCACTCCCCCCCCATTCCCCCCTCCTTCCCAAGCCAAAGCACCCCCAATGGGGCCAAGACCCCCCCAAACCCCCCCTGGAATCACCCCCAATGGGGCCAAGACCCCCCCCCGGAATCCCGGCCCATCCGCACGGCTCTTCCCGCCTTTGTTTCCCGCTCCAGGCGAGCTGTCTCTGGACCCGGACACGGCCAACCCGTACCTGGCGCTGTCGGAGGACCGGCGCAGCGTGCGGCTGCGGGGCGCCCCGCAGGAGCTGCCGCCGCACCCCAAGCGCTTCGACTTCTCCTTCTGCGTGCTGGGCGCCGAGGGCTTCCAGGCCGGGCGCCACTACTGGGAGGTGGAGGTGGGTGACGGCGCCAGCTGGGTGCTGGGCGCCGCGCGCGAGTCCGTGCGCCGCAAGGAGAAGGTGGACGTGGCGCCCGAGGAGGGCGTCTGGGCGGTGGGGCTCAACTGGAAGGGCAAGAGCTGGGACCAGTACCAGGCGTTCACGTCGCCCGAGACGCCGCTGTCGCTGTGCGAGCGCCCGCGCAAGGTCGGCGTCTACCTGGACTACGAGGGCGGCTGGGTGGCCTTCTACAACGCCGACACCATGGCGCCCATCTTCACCTTCACGGCCGCCTTCTCCGAGCGCGTCTTCCCCTTCTTCTGGCTCTTCTACGTGGGCTCCTCGCTCTCGCTGTGCAACTAGGAGCGGCCCCCTTTGCCGTCGGCCCCCCCCTTTGCAATCAGACCCCCCATTGCC